ATATATAAAAGAAGAGAACTTTGATTGCAAATATGTTAGTTGGAAAAAATACTGATTATACTATATGATCTTTTTACTATATAGGTTAGAAAAGTGATGCGTAGTCAAAAGTGCTACAAAGGAGTAAAAACCCAGATCTGTCCATTAATAAATTTTATTGACACTGTCAGGGACATATACTTTGCTTGAGTACAAATTTGTTCGTCAAAAATCTTGTTTGTGAAGCTGTACTTTGTTTGATTCAGGATCAATCAATCTTTTCTGAAGAGAAATGAACAATAAAGTATGTTAACATGTCACTAATAACTTCAACACTGCCTTAGCTAACAACTAAGAAGAAACTCAACTTCATATCAAAAAACAAAGTGAAAATACTTCACTGTGAAACAACAACTCTTCAAATATATCACATTAAATGAGACCTGATGAGAAGTTTATAGCAAAAGAGACAAACGATAATTACAATGAAACTATAATGTTACAATATATATCTATAATGAATGAGATCTGTATTTGAGTTTTCTCTCATAATTCTGACAGAAGATCAAAATTGGAAACTCCATATCCTAAACAACTGCATTCATCAACATGATCCAACTAAAATTGCATTAAGACTCAAAAGTTTACTCCAAACTTTAAACTCCTGCAAGTTTAATCTGTGAGGATTATTTTTTTTTTCTTGGAAAGAAGTTTTGAATACTTAATAGCATGTTAACTCTATCATTCATTCATAACTTTGCGCCCAAAAAAATTAAGCCGAAAACGATGGACAGAAAAACAAAAGCATTCAGAGGAATATTACCCTGTTCATCTCCTTCCAGGAACCAATATTTTCAAGCAAAGAAGCACCCCCCACAGAAAGCCTTGTGTGCAAAAATTTAGTACTTAAAAAATTGTACACGGAGGAAATCATGTCCGTAAGTACGGTTCCTAACGAAGTAACTCATTGTGTGGACAATTCCAAGCCAAATTTATGAGCAAAATAATCTAAACTTTGATCCTTCAATTATAAAATTGCAAGCCTAAATGTACAGCCGCTGTGCACATTGTAAACATAATTTTTTTCACAAATCAGAATGTTGCTGGACCTATCGAACTGTAGCTCCAAGACAGTCTAGGTGTTTTAATGAACACTCTCACATTTTCTCATTCGACAGTTTGCATAAAACTCAAATTTCTATATGGTAACATACAAAGCTGTATAAATAACGTGCAACAACAATGAAATTCGCATCGACAATTTACACAGCAAGACAATCGCTAAGAATATTTCTTTACCTTCTTTATAATTTCCTTTTGTACCGAGTGACACGAGATTAAGTTGAAGCAAGCGTAAGGGTATTTTTCTGCCATAAACAGTGTAAACATGCGGAGATTAAACATCTAAATATAGTTTTTCCAGCAACAAAGTACACGCTAAGTCATATTAACAAAACAAAGCCCAAAAATGTCTGTCCCTCTACTTTTTTTTGGTTGAATCCGTGGTAAGAAACTTGATATAAAGAACAAAAACATTTTGGATAGCATTGTAATACGCTCTTCGATCAACAGTCGAATGTTATCGAATGTTAGATTCACAATCAAAGTCGTATTTAGACACAAAAACGGGATACACATTTAACAAAACTGTCGCTTCCGTGCAACTCGGTATAAGCTAATTTATATACCAAAACAAAGCCCAATAATTTTTCTTCCACTACTTTATAATTTCTTTTTGTACCGAGTCGCACGGAACATGCAGTAAACAAAAAGAGCAAAAATTAACACATTTTCGGCATATCTTCCAGATGCAAACCAGCGATCTCAGCGTCAATAACACTGAATCAGACCATGCCAATGCGATTTTTCGCCCGTTTCCAGACGCTATATTCTCTAGAGAACACACTTACGTCAAAACTTTGACCAAAATAGTTTTTGATCTCTAACAGAGGCAAGAAATTGCAACGTTGTCACTGCCAAAAAAAGCTACCATCGCTCCTTTCATCTCAACAACATTTCCCGGGCATTTTTGCCTCGGAGCCAATGACATTGCCCGAAATAGATCACGTGTCATTTTTTCCAGAGCATGCGTAGACATTTTTCGCCGGTGAATGGCACCAAGTCGCGTCGAGAACGTCATTTGGCAAACTTTGGCGTTGTGTACAGAACATGAGTATAAAATCCTTTTTTTTGTTCATGAAAGTAATACTTTGTCTCCCTTAAACCTCTCAGGCTCTCAGTAGAGTTGCTTAAAATCTTGGTCCGAGATTGCAATCAATTTGGAATGCAAAGATGCGACAGCTAAGGCATTTTTCATCATATATTCACAGGTGAACAGCTAGTTGAAGACTTGAAGTCCTGGATCGAAGCATGGCATCCGAGCCTAAACCTCCCAGGTAAATGTGAGCTTTACTTATGGCTATTTGAGTCGGTTAAACAAATCGTTGTATTTTCAACATCTGTTATGTTTGGAAAAGGAATATTTCGCGGACACTAAACTTGATTTCATTCAGTCGAAGCATTGAATGTAAGCTTAGTTATGCTTATACTCCTGTTATTTTATTTTTAGCCCGTTATGTTTTGGTCAAACGAGCATGACGTGTTCTTGTGCCGAGAAGTGGTAAATTTAGACCCTTTTACGTCCAAAAAAGGATCCAATCAAAGAAGCGGGAAGTGGGAGAAAATAGCTCAAACTTTTAACGAATATACCGTACTGAGATTCAGCGTTGACAAGCGATCGGTTCGCGACCACATAGGGATTCTCGTCAACAAGGATAAAAGAAAACTCAGAGCCAAGGAGAAGGCATCTGGTATAGCGCCCGGCGAGCCAAGCGAGCTGGAAAATCTTTTGGACACTATCATCGCTTTAGAAAAAAGTTCAGAGGCAGAATCACCGGAATTAAGAGTAGAGAAAAATGAAAAATGTGAAAACGACCAAGCAAAGGCAGAAGTTGCGAGATTAAGATGAATTATGAACTGAAACAACAAGAGTTTAAAATGTTGCAAGAACAGCAAGCGTTGGAGAGAGAAAAAAATGGAAGCGATGACCAAACAGCAGCTACAAACACAACAGTAACAAACAGAAATGTTTAAAGTAATGCAACAGCAACAACAACAAAGCCAACAACAGCTGGTTAACACTAAATGATGATGATGCAACAACAACAAGAACAGTCAAGAGCAATGATGGCTCTATTAGAGAAATTAATCAATAAGTGATATATGGGTTTATGTCACCGTCAGGTTTTGCAGCATATTTTGCTGCACTGCATATCATTCCCATAAAATAACTACATACGATAACTGTACTTTTCTGGTATGTATCGGTCAAATCCATGCTTAAATATCTCCCCTGCGTAAAAGCGCAAAACAAATAAATTATGGTCACTTAATTAAAATTTTAGGTGGAGGAATTTGATCACCTGAAACGGACATAGAATGGGGTACTTGAATGGCTTTTAATCCCTGGGAGGGGGGAATTTAAACACTCAATAACCGGGCAAAGGTTCAAATGCCCAGGGAAGATCGTTAAGCTTCGATTTGACTGTACATTAAAGTAGCATAAGCCAACATCTACAACTACACTGCTTGAACATTTTGGAGTGGCTCGTGGATAAAAATATTTTAAAAAATACACTGCTTGATTTGCAGGCCCACGAGATACAGATGACATAAAACCACCTGTTGCATTTGTATTGTTTTTTTTTTTTGTACTGGAAAAGTTGAAACTCGGTTGTCACCAGCAGCAAGAAAAGTGTACACAATTGTGTAACTTAACTTTTCTTTGTTTTTGTGACGTACATCATTTTTCGCACGGTTGACAAGGTGACGGCGGACTCCGTAGCTGTGGAAACGCCCTTTTGAAACATGTCCAGGCAACATGCAGGGCATCACGAATTAGAAATTGACGTCAACACCTTGAATCAACTCCATGAACAGGGAGAGGCGATAAGTCCCATCTTAAAAGATGCTTGATGTCTAAACGTGAATAGTCTGTCTGCAGTCATTTTTCATTTTGTATATCGGGACCATTTGAAAGCGCAAGAGTGAACCGGAGCGCAGTAACGAGACTTAACCCCACCCCATTGCCCTTGCGGTCAATAAATCATCGCGTTTTTCATTTTTTTTATGCGCGTTTGAGAACCTGCAAATGGAATATTGAGGGTCTTTGTACAGTTTTAGTTTATTTTACCGACAAAGAAGAACAAAACAAAGCAAAAGACAAGTGTACAGAAATACGCAGAAGCAATGTGGTGAGGAAGCCCAAAAAGAAACCATAAGACTTAGGTCGTCCCCTTTTCGTTCGTTTAGCGTCGAATAGGTTTCCTGGTTTTGGGTGGGTCGGTCGGTGGGGTGAAAAAAAATCACAAGAAATCTGAGAACAGGAGGCCTGAAACACCAGCATCATTGCCGTGGAGCCTGAAAACAACAAGACATGGTCACTAAATCGACACAAACTCAATATGGCGGAAAATGTGATGGTCAATTTCATAAAAAAAAGGCCCAAAAAGGTTAAAAAGCAAAAAGGATACACCACCGAACGTTTTATGCCTGGAAATGCTGTTTTAATGCTCATTTTTTAGATTGAGTCCAAAAAAATAAACCTTGTCGTTTCTTTTACTTGCTTTTTTTAAAAATGCCAAAAAATTGGGTCTGTTGGACGACACTAAACGAAGAAAAAATAATATATGTATTAAGCTCCCTTAAAGTATAAAAGTATAAGTTTACAAGGACAGGATCGAACGCATACTGAGTAACTAAATGACAAAAGTTTGATCAAAATTAAATGAAAGGCTAAGAGTCTAAGCGCCGTCTGATAACGAAACGGTAAACAAGAAGTGCTGCCTGTCATTTAATAGAGACGTGAAATACTGGGTGAACCACATCCTGAACTCTTGCGAAAACCGCAAGAGAGGAACGCTCAGCGCTAAGGAGACTAAACAGGGGCGTAGCTACTTGTACGCACGGTTCGCACGTGCGTACCCGAAAACGTTG